GCCAGACACATACAGGGAAGAACTGAGCTGTTTGGCACTGGAGCGAGGGCTGGAGAGGGGGCTTCCTCGGGGACAAACGTGCTGTCAAAGGGCTTTGTTCCTTTGGTGAGCCCTTCCCGGGGGCAGCAGACAGTCGCCATATCTGGGACTCCAGCAACCTGGCTCACACTGGTAGCCCCGCCCTGCTGACTCCCTGAGGCCCCGCCCCGCCCCACACAACTTTCAAGCCCACCCAAGCTGTTGCCACTTGCTTAACCACAGGATTGGCCGGTCTTGGATCCTGCTTCAGGTTTTTCCTAAATTCTTTCAAACGAGCAGCATCGGGTCTCAGCGAGCCCCATACCTCTCATTAAGTAATACACAGAAACAAACACAGGGAGGCAGCCAAAATGAGGAGACAAAGAAACAGGTCCCAAATGAAAGAACAGAACAAAACCCCAATAAAAGAACTAAGCGAAAGGGAGATAAGCAACCTAACAGATGCTGAGTTCAAAATACTGCTTATAAGGATGCTCAATGAACTTAGTGAGAACCTCAGTGAACTTAGGGAGGGCCTCAAGAGCATAAAAAAGGACCAGTTAGAAATCATGGATACACAGTTAGAATTGAAGGAGGCATTAACTGAAATAAAGAATAATTTACACAGCTTCAATAATAGAGTATGTAAATCCAAGGAGCAAACCATTGATTTGGAATACAAGGAAGCAAAAAATCCCCAATCAGAACAGCAAAAAGAAAAAAGAATCCAAAAAAATGAGGAGAGTGTAAGGAGCCTCTGGGACAACTTCAAGCGTGCCAACATTCGCATCTTGGGGGTGCCGGAAGGAGAAGAGAGAGAACAAGAAATCGAAAACCTGTCTGAAACAATAATGGCAGAAAACTTTCCTAACTTGGTGAAGGAAACAGTCATACAAGTCCAGGAAGCACAGAGAGTCCCAAACAAGATGAACCCCAAGAGGCCCACACCAAGACACATCACCATCAAAATGCAAAAGGTTCAAGACAAAGAGAGAATCTTAAAAGCAGCAAGAGAAAGGTAGCTAGTTACCTACAAGGGAGTTCCCATAAGGCTGTCAGCTGATTTCTCAAAAGAAACTTTGCAGGCCAGAAGGGAGTGGCAAGAAATATTCAGAGTGATGAAAACCAAGAACCTACAACCAAAATTACTCTATCCTGCAAAGCTGTCCTTTAGAATCGATGGACATACAAAAACTTTCCCAGACAAGAAAAAGTTAAAGGAGTTCATCACTATCAAACCGTTATTATATGAAATGATGAAGGGTCTTTTTGAAGAAAAAGATAAAATGTATGAACAAACAAAATGGCAATGAATACAGATCTATCAACAATGGAATCTACAAACAAAATGAACAGGAAGAACAGAAACATTCTCATAAATACAGAGAACATTTTGTTGGTTGCCAGTTGGGAAGGGGGTTGGGGGAATGGGTGAAAAAGGTGAAGGGATTAAGAAGCACAAATTCATTGCTAGACTGACAAACCTCAAAGGGAAAGGGGTTGGGGGGGTGGGAAGAAATAAACCAAAGAACTTATATGCATAACCAATGGACACAGACAATAGTGTGGGAAAAGGTGGGAGGGGGGCGGGAGTGGGGAGGAGGGAGTCAATGGGGGAAAAATGTGGAACATCTGTAACACATTTTACATCCAACAATAAAGATTTAAAAAAATAAAATAAATAAATCTACCCACCCACCAGAAAAAAAAAAAAAGATCCAACAGCTTTAGGAAAGATAATTTACATAATTATCAGTGATTAAGTAATGCACTTTTAGATTCCTTCCAAGCTTCCATTAGATGGGCACAGGTTTGGATAAAAATGTGAGTGAGGTGGGTGGAATGACCGAGGGCCCAAGCATGTGGACTGCTTCCAGCTGCTGAGCACCTTAGGAAGTAACCAGAAGGAATTGGTGAGTCTGAGGTTCCGAATACACTCTCCTCTAAACCCATCTGTATAACGCTGGGTTCCACCGGAAGCTAGGCTCTGTAAAGAATCGGATTTCAGATGGAAACCTCCCTTCATGATTCTATAAAATAACATACACAATGTGTCCAGCAAAGGGCCGGATGCGTTTTAGACACCCCATGGACATGAGTTTCCTCTTCTTCTCTCTATTTGTAAGTCATCCAAAATATTGGCACACAATTTTAGCTTGTTTCTTCTTCATCTTTAATTTCATATTTAAATCATGAGCTTTCCCCATGGGTTTCTTTTCAAGAATTATTTCCTCATGCTTGAAACTGATCATCTTAATCTGTGATCAATTTCCGTTTCAACCACCTCCCTCTGTTTCCATCTCCTGTCATGACGCCATGCATACTTTTGGATCCTCCTGTAATTCTTTTAGTTAATCACCGTGTAACATAAACTAGATGCATGGAGAGGCTGTTGTAAAGTTGTGATTTATATCATGAGAATATTCAAATAGATGTAACGTGTGGAGAAGGGCCTCTGGGGTCAGGAGAAAGAGCAGCGTTCATTAGCCCGCCGTAGCAAAGGGGAGGGCCTCTCTTTAGTGAGTCAGTACTTTTCCCTTGGTATCTTGCAGTGTATTTTTTCCTCTGGCATTTGGGACTTTTAAAAAATGTGTTTTCATACCAAAACATTGTGATTTTTTTCAGTTTCTGCATGCTAATGAAGTGTGAACTGATTTCTCCTTTTTGAAGAGCAAATGAGGAAGTTGAAATGAAAGTCTTGGGAAACTAATGTATAGGAAAAAGTATTCTAAAGTTAGCATTGCATTAAGCCTTCATTGGCAGTACATAGGAGATTGAATGATGTGTTATGGGGTAAAACATGAAAATGAAAGGAAAGGAAAAGGCAGACTCTTCGTGGCGGACATTCACAGCAGGTGCTCTAACTATGAGTTTAAAATAGTGAAATATTGAAGGTGTAGATTAGTGCCACTGATCACCAGAATGAGTGTGAACCGTCAGCCCACAGTTCATACCCCGTGGACATCACATACACAGCTGCTCTGAAGAACATTCTGATATGGCTCAGCAACCTGGAGAATAAGAACCCTCTGGTCGCCAAAACTCAGAACAGCCAAGAGATGCAACTCTAGTTAAGTTCTCTTCACCTGGAAAAGCAGGGGGAAAACTTCCTTCACTCTCTCAGAGTCCCCCTTTCCCTTGAGGGGACTTCTTTTTATAGACATGGCCAGATCTGGATATGAAGAAGCCACTAGCTGCCCTGTGGGTGACAAAATCCACTTGCACATTAAGAGCAGGAAGAACAGTCGATAAAGGATATTTGTTGTCTACATAAAGAACTAGGCCAGATACAGCCAATAGACTACCAACTGAGGTTGATTAGTGGTAGCTTCCCAGTGTGCTGGGCTGAGGAGAATTCTGAGTCTGAATCCGGTTTAGAAAGAATTCCGAAATTTGTAGGAGCACTGGTGGGGAGGAAGAGAGCTGCAGAAGATAAATATGTGTTGGTTAATTGCCATCTATTTCTTTGGGTCAAGGGCAAAAAGCAAGAGACAATGCCTCTTACATTCTAGTGCAAAAGGGTGAAAACTCGTCACAGGTACTGCGGAAAACAACCCCAACTTGCAGAGTCAGTAAGGGAGAGTCAGGCATCCATGTCTGGGAAACTGCCACATGAGTTGTAATTTACTTGGAGTAAACAGCAGCATACAGAGAAGACTGAAGAATGCCAGAAAATGTTCAGTACAGAGAGATATATGACTACGCCAATAAAAAGCTGTTCTCCAGTTTTCTTGTGGTAATGGAAATCACCAGAATATTATTCATAGAACTACCCATACGAATGCTATATTGATATTGCCTTAGATATATGCTTTTGCCCCAATTGTGAAATAGTTTTTTACATGCCTTATGGTAATAAGCCTCCACATGATCCTTAAGGAGTTCAGTGACATTCCTAGGTAGTTCAACCTAATGTGAGCATGTTAGAAGAGATTTCAGCTTGCACATGTCAGTGCCAAGTCCTGTCTCGTGTCCACTGCGCTAGGGAACACTCTCCACTGCCCACAGTAGAAAATAATGAAGTCTGGGCCCCAGAACACACTCAGGCTGCAGTAACAATTTGTAAATGTAGATTTTGCTGTTATGTAGCATTGCAGCATTTGAAATTACTGAAATAACAGATGTTGATTATTTGGATTCAGAAATGTTTGTCCTAACCGGGGAAGAGACCAGTTTAAATGTCAATGCTCAAGATGTTAAATCCCCAACATCCTTGCTATTAAAGATGCATTTCTCAGATTTCTTTTCTTTTTTTTTTTTATTCTCACCCAAAGACATTTTTAAAAAATTTTTTAATCAGATAGAGTGGGAGGGAGAGACAGAGGAAGAGAAAGAGAGAAACATTGACGTGAAAGGTCGGCTGCCACCCACACAACCCAACCAGGGCCGGGGACAACCTGCAACTGAGATACGTGCCCTTAGAGGGAACCGAACCCGGGTCTCTCTGGACCACAGGCCAACGCTCTAACGGCTGAGCAAAACCAGCCAGGGCCATTTCTCGGATTTCTCATTCTAATAGCACCTAAAACAGTCCCCAAACTTGATAAAATTCACCCCTTCCAATCCAGTGTAATGAAAATGGCAACTGAATGTGAAAAAAGAAAATTGAAATAAAAGTAATCAAGTCATGGAATTAATATTCTCAAAACGTGTTTCTTGTTCAAACAATAACTTAGTGAATAATGGTTTGGAGGAGATGATCAACTGAGCACACATTGACAAATAGAATTATCATTTTGGAAAAGAAGCATAGAGAAAGCCTAAGAGTACTATGTTCTTTAGCAAACACGGATGATACACAGAAACTGAGACTGGAACACACAGTTTGGAAAAGCAGAGGAAACGTTACATATAAAATAGCAGCAGCTGGTGTTAGGATGTGGGGTGATTACAGCCTTTCTAGTATTATAGAATTACCAAATTTCTTTGCTTTCTACGTCATGTCCATATTCTCCAAGACACACGTGTTGTTTCCTTTGTAGGTATGATATCATGAATCTGCAGTACACGGAAGCCAATCGCTATGACTATGTACAAGTGGGGACCTGGCACGAAGGGGTGCTGAACATCGATGACTACAAAATCCAGATGAACAAGAGTGGAATGGTGCGGTCCGTGTGCAGCGAACCTTGCCTGAAAGGTCAGATTAAGGTGAGCCAGCCACAAGTGCATTCTCAGATGGTGTTCGTGAGAGGCCCTGCCTGGACTTCAAGAAAAAGTACCCAGACATTTTTCTAAAACAAGACTGTCCAAAAAGGGTGGACCACGCTTAGTGTTTTTATGCTCGTGGCTAGCTAAAATCAAAAAGACAAAGAAAGATTAGGAAATAAAATAAGAAAACCATTTGAATATTTACAATGATCTTTAACTGAATCACAATGATAAGCCAGAATTTTCGATACAATATAGAAAGCAAGGAGATTTGTAATCAATTTAAAAATTGAAACAGAAGTTAACATGGAAACCAAAACCAGTGGTACTGCTTAGTTGTTCTAGCTATTGTTAAATAAAGCAGAAGCTGAACGATGATAACGAGCATATAACTAAGATAAAAGAAGTTGAGCGAGGTAGCCGAGAAGCAGCGCTTATCATTTCTCCACCAGGTTCCTTGGTTTTCCTGAAACTGGTATTTTCTAGCCAAAACAGAGCACTACCTAATTATTCTCAGATGCTTATATTTCCCAGCCTATGGGTAACCATGACATTACTGTATACATAAAACTGGAGGAAATAAACATCAGGTATTGAGCACTTAGCTGGACGTGATGGGGAAACTTCTTGGTGAAGAAGACATAGAAATAGCGTCCTCTGTGGCCCTTGCTATTTAAAACCAAACCGGGTGATGCTCTAGAGGGAGTGATTGTGAACTGGCAAGAGTATTGATTCATTGACCTCATAGGTCTTTTTGTCTCTAATTTTCTCTGATTCATCTCTGGGAACAGACAGGCTGTCACGTAAATGTCGCCCGGCGCAGCTGGGGCTGGTGGGCGCCGTCTGGGGCTCTCACCATGCGGCCACGGCCATGCCGCTGCTCCGTTCCCGGGAGCTGTGGAGCCACCCACGCAGGGGTGAAGTGCACTCAGGTGTCTTAGGGAAAGCGCCTAGTCATGGGCAGATGTGCTGGTGTGGAAACTGGAAAAGCCGTAGCTCTCCTGATCAAAGAAGGTAGAGGAGTGAGCACCTGCAACAACTCTGGGCAGCTGAGGAAAGCTGTCCTGATGGACTGACTCACCCTCTCAGTGACACTGTCCACTTGGAAGATGCAACGCGCCTCTGAGGCAGTTCACCCTAGCTTGGAGTATCCTGGGCTTGCTCTGCAGAGGCGATGCTAAAAGTACTTAATAACTGTCATGACAACTCACCAATCAGAATTGGCTCCTTGCTCGTGAGGTGACAGGTCCTGGAGGCTGCCTGCCATGCCCATGGTGAATCCTTAAGTTGTTGGATCATGGGGAGACTTGGGCGAGGGGTCCCACAAGGCTCACATTGTGTGGGGTGTACAGGAGGCTTAAAGATACCATTAGCTTCCACTCGGTGCCTAAGTACTTCGGCTGTGCAAGCTCAGCTCCAGCCAAGCCAGTGTGTGAGCTGAATGTGAGCACTGCTCCTTCCCCAGAATCCACTTCTGTTTCTGGTCCTGATGACATTATTTTACATGCGACTGTCCAGGGGACTGTGGAAGTGCACCTTCTGAAACCCAGAGGCCCAGAACGTCTCTGTGACTGTTGCCACGAGATGCCAGACATTCAGTGTTTATCATCTTTTCTGGATGGTGGGGTAAATGGGACATCTGAGACCTACAGTCATAGATGAAGGCAGTACGGAAGCCTGGAGCTCACGGGCTTCTGTGACCCAGAGGATGTCACACATTCGGCTCAGGCCCTTTCCACTTTGGGTGATAGCATTGAGTCTGTGCAGACAACTGCTGTGAGACCGTTGAGGGGGCTATAAAGTTGAGTATTTCAGAGCATAAGGGGGGAAAGATCCTGGCAAGAGCAAACAAAGGATCCCAACGAGTCAAGGTACTCCAGCTCCCTTGCACAGTCCCTCCTGTTCCTCTGGTTGTTGGCAGGCCCTTTAGGGAGCGTGCATTCCTGAAGAAAGGCCTTCCCCCCAAGGTTCAGAGAAAAGGCTAGCTGCATACATCTGTGCCAAGACACCGAAGTGTTTCCCGCACCATGTTTGCATCACGCCCATGCAGTGTTATCCAAGGAATTCCTCCAACCAGTGCTGAGCTGCTACAGAGCATTCGCTCTAAATGCAGATCTTCTGGGGACCAACCTTAGAAATATTGTGTACCCAGTAGGAGCAAAGTATCACCTGCGGTGGAGGTGAGGGGGGATGTTTGTCTGTTTCCCAGAAGCACCGTGGGAGGTGCGGAAACAAACAAAATCTGAATCTCATTTTCTGAGTAATAACACTTATCTTGTTACAGCACCAATTTGCCACCTACTAAGCCCAGGATGCTCAGAGTCAGGTCCCTTGGTAGCTACCGCTAAGATGGGAGAGAGGCAACTTACAAGGCGATCCTAGGACTTAGACTTGTATTAACTGGGCAACATAACCTTTAGGAAAGGAGTATTCACTTTAAATATCAAATGCCATTTCAAATCATTTGACTTCTTTTATAATAGCCCACAGAACTTTCTTATGGTGATTGCCTTTGAAGTAACTGAAATTCCAGTTTTCTTACATTATTGAGTTTTAGAAATATAAATAGAATATTTCCTTATAGAAGCAGAAGTTGATCTTAGCCACACCACAAGCACAGGTAAATAAAGTCAAACTTTGTATTGTCACATGTAATATTGTGGAAAATATAATCACGGATTATATTCTGTGACAGGGATCAGTCACAGAAAAAAAATGAGCCCATGCCAGGTGGTTCGTTAGAGGGAATTTAATGTAAGAACTGGTTATACAAGTAAGAGGGGACACTGAGACACCTTAGAGGTGAGCGACTGCAAGAATCCTTCCTAACCCCAGGCCAGAGGGACACTGGGAGAAGTCTCAGCTGCTACCTGAGGTGCCCTTTGAAGTGGGGAAGGAGAGGATACCCTGGCTTCTCCTTCCTCCTTCTCTTCAGAGTCTCATTAGGTCCTTCCATCTTGCCAACCCCATCTGGAAGACAGGGCAGAAGAGCCTGGTCAATACAGCTGACAGGTACTTAGCTCAGGTTCCCTTGAACACTTAAAGCCAAGTAAGGCTCAAGGGCGAACACATTATTAGGAGGTAGAATCCCAGGGAGGCAGGAGTGGGAGGAAAAGGGACTGAGCCATGGCAGGAAGAATGGAAAACATCACAACCCACGACAACAGGACGCGTGTCTGCCCAGGATGCTGTGTCACTGGGTACAACTCATCTCTTGACGTCACAGAAATCGTGAAAAAGGCTGGTTGGACTGTCTATTGAAGTAAAAAGGAGAGAAACGTGGACACACCTGTGCCATCCTATTTTCTGCTTCCTGTAGTCGAAGTTGCCTCCCCGGAAGTAGCATCACCTGACTTCTTCAGGCAGCTCCCAGGTCAAGTCCATGCTCTGCGATGTGGCCCCATGTCAGATTTGGAAGCAGTGAGGGGAGAGAACTCCTCTGTGGGTCCCACGTGGTCTGACCTGGACTCCTGCTGTGGTGGCTGCAATGGGCAGTTCTGGAGTCCAGTGCCTACTTCATGGGAGAGACGGCTGGAGGGGCCAGACCATGAGGCAACAATGACGGAGACTGACATGGGGTCGCAGAAGTGCCCAGAACACTCCAGGAGCCCATGGCCCCCAGCCTGAGAGGCAGGTTAGGTGCAGAGAATCTGGGGCAGCCCACAAAATGTGGACAGTGGAGCTGCAAGGAACAGCCAGTGTCCTGCACGTGTGGTGCCCAGCCTGCCGTGGTTTTGCTTGGCGTGGAGAAGGGCAGGAAAGAGGTGAGATGGGGCAGGAGGCAAAGGAGGGGGAAGCGAAAGGAAGAAAGGAGGCAGTGGAGGTCAAGGGCTGACATTATCAAGCATATTCTTGGGCAAGTACAGTAATGCTTTACAAACACCATCATTCCAATGATCCCTTGAAACAACCCATTAAAGCAGGTATGATGGCCCCGTTGCATCGATGAGGAATCCGAGGCCCAGAGGGGCTGAGTCACCTGCTCCAAGCTTTGTCAGTGGAAAGTGCCAGGGCTGGAGGGCTGGGCTTGGAGCCAACCCAAAGCTCTTACTCCCCACCCCCCACAGCCACAGGTGCCCCACTCTCTTTCATTCTGTGAACTGGCACGTTTTCTACAAATGCAAATTTCAATTGCTAGGCCTTCTTTTTTCAATAATTCACAATAAAATTATAAGCAGAGGTCCACATTTGAAATGCCGAGGGAACAGAATCTGGAGTTCATGAGCAATAGTTGTGGAGGTGGTAGGGAGAGTTTGCCAGAGCAGGCAATGGGCAGGAAGCCGAGGGAAGGTCAGCAGACCCTCTCACTGGCCTTCCCTCCTGCCCTTTCCCACCCTCCTCTTCTGGGTTCTCCCCTTACATTTGTCCTTGGATTCTTCACTCCAAGTTGAGGGTTTGGGAGCTGGGAGCCTGGGTGTGGAGAAGGGGGAATGAGGCTATACTTTCCTCATTTTGTTCCCTGTCCTGAACCCTATTCCTCTTGTATGATGCACTTTTCTTAAAGCCCTTCTCTAGAATGATAGCTCCTCAAGGATGGAGATATTATCTGTTTTGTTCACTGATTATTTCCAGTCTTCACATAGTTCCTGACACATGGTAGGCACTCTGAAAGCACACTCTGACTGACTGACTGAATGAGTAAATGAATGAATGATTAAATGTATGTTCTCTGCACAAGCATTTCATTCCTCCTTTAAGCAGTGAACTTAATAGAGTATTTTGGATTTTGAGTTTTTTAACCTCAATGATCAGGTCTTTTCATTTATTTGTCCCTATGCATAGCACCATGTCTGGCATATTGGGCCATTTAACAAAGGCTGATTAAGTGAATATGTATCTGCCAGCCTCTGAGATATAACTTGGGTTCTCAGCATAACATGCCATCACCCTGAAAGCCATCACTACACTAGGAAGAGCCTAACTCCTGGAAATAAGTGGCGATAACATGACTGAGATTTGCAAAGGTACTGATCCCCCTACTACTGTTTTCTAGCTGAAAA